GACGCCACACGTAAGGGGAACAATTTTTCCAGTTAGCAACTTACCAGCAAAATCCGCACCAATTAATAATTTTATCTCTTTATTGACCTTACATGTACCATTTTCTAAATCGCTTATTTTGATACCATGTGACTTAATTAAGTTACCATGTGACTAATTAAGTTTTGATACCATGTGACTAATTAAGTTCGCGTAACCACGAACCAGATGGGAGTTGCTTAATTTCAGAACAAATTTTGTTTTGACCAAGTACCTCTAATTTACACTTATATTTACTATATATATTGCTTACTTCAATAACATAGTTTTTATATACATTTTCTGAAGTCTCAACTCCACCAAAAAGAAATTGCTTAATTTTTGATTCACCAATACACTTACAATTTAACCTTTGGGCAACATCATTACATAAATATGATTTCATAGGACCACTATTATAAGCTGCTCGTACAAACATTTCTTTAGAACCATTCTGAATTTTTACAATTAAAGTTTGAAGATATACATCTGGTACCTTAACATAGTTATTAAGAATGCCTGTTTTGTTTTCGTCATTCGCCTAACTTTGTGACACTTTTTGTTTTGTTAGAAGGCAAATCAGGGCACATAATCACAAAATGTCGATTTTTACATAAGGTACACCTATGTTTAGCTGTGCACTGATTTGCTCTATGGTTTTTCTTAAGGCACACAAAACAAACATTCTTTTTCTTAATAATATCTTTCTTACATTCTAAACTCATTAAGAGATGCATCTTTACAACTTTCAGACAAATGGGATTTTTTCACAAAAAATACAAGTATGAGACTTTTTATACTTTTGAAAATTTACATTACACTTACTACTATTACTACTATTTGCATTAATTAGTTCACATGCAGTTGGAACAACAGGTTTTGTGTCAAAAAACTTATTTTTTCTTATTACTTACTTTATCAGAACCCAAAACATCACGGGTAAGTTTAACTCTAAATTCAGTTTCTACTTCCCTTTTTAGAAAATCAATTAATGACTCCAAATCACTCTTACCTGTTGTTTCAGGAGACATACCTCCTTGTCTTTCCCAAATTTGTATTAAATCAGCAGGAAGTGCCGATACCAGTAAAGGAAATAAAACAACTGCAAATTTATCTTTAGTTAAACCGAGTGTTTCCAATGCGCGTAGTTGAGTTTGCAACTTGTCATAAAGAGTTAATAAGTCTATCTTTTGTTTGTCATTGATTACCAGTTTTAATAGCTCTCTAACTTAAATTTGAATTAAAACATTTTCATTTCCAAATCGTTCTTTGAGATACTCCACGGCTTTTTCGTAATTTTCTTCCGTAGCAGGAAAACTCTCCACTATTGCTCTAGGCCCAGTCTCAGGTTTCGTAGATTGTAGTAGATAATGAAACTTGTCTTTCTTGTCGATGCGAGTATCTTCATGTATTTTACTAAACCTCGTCCAAAATGTCAACCACTTTCCGGGAGTCTCCATCGAACTTCACCAGTTCGATCTCCGGCAATTTCTGTTTTGCGGCCTTAACTATTCCGGATGAAGAACCGCTATACGTTGAATCAGTAGAAGGCTGTGAACACTTATCCTTTTTCCTGTTGGCTTTTTTACTTTCAACGTAGATAATTTATCGTAATATTCTTCAGCTGCACTAAATTCTCTTTTCGTATTCTTCTTCAGTACAGCCTTTTTTCTGTAGAAGTTCCAAAAAAGAGTCATCCGTTTTTCGTAAAGTTTTATACTTCTCTGAAATTTGATCTAAATAAATTTCTAAATCGTCCAAATCCGGAGAATCTGATCGTATCAGTTCATCTAACTTATTAGCTGTTTCATAAATACACTCCTAATTGCTTTCCGCTTCTGTTTTAGTGTTTTCTAAATCATCCATGTTTGCACCTAGGAACTTCTCTTATTTTTGTAAATTATCAAGTGTCGAAATTGATATGTGACCCTGCGACATTCATCCTGGCAGGCTCACCAAATTTGTTGCTTAATAAGTAAATCATAAGTTCGAAAATCTGAGCCGACACTTTTTAAAAACACCAACATTTATTTTCACGCCATTTCTAATTTTACAAAATCTTAAATGCAATTAACTATCAAACAGAAAAGGAGACGTAGACGTAATGATGCATCTGGGCACGTGATCTTCGTGACAGATGAATTCTTTAGGGTTGCCACAGAAAGGCAGTGTGTCGCCACATCCCCCTAGCCAGTTAAAGCCTGCAGTGAAGCAGCACAGGTTCTGCACTATCGGTAGAAAAGTAATGTAGCCCCACCCACTTGCATAGGCAAGTCCACAGCAAGATGAGCTGGTCTCAGAAACTCTTTTTCAGACCAAACTCTAAAACTAAAAAAAAAAAAATTACATCAACTCCCGTACAATCCTTGAAGAAATCTCGAGTTCTCCACCCTCCAAATTCTACAGGCTGAAAATTGCACATAAACTTAATGCTCACAAACCAGAAGACTTATCTCTTTTTTTTCTTTGTTTTTAATACTTGACTACATTCAACAAATACAAACAGGGATGCTGCACCAGTCACCCAAAATGCGTGAGAAACAAAATTCAAACCCAGCTAACAAACAGAGAAGTGCAATAAGAGATAAATTTACTGCTGCCCTTAAAATAAAATTTTACAGATGCCACTCTGCTCAAAAGAACCCATTTATTCAACACTTTCAGCATTTGCAAAGAGAAAAGTGAAGCTAAGACGCCAATTAAATCTTCCTTTACTACCCAGTAACCAAAACCTTTGTTGTTTTAGCAGTGCAGAGAATTATTATTATACAACAACTGCCGTTATTGTAAATGCTATTCACAATCAATTGGGAAACACTAAGATGCCCGCTTAGCAAGATGTTAAAAAAAAATCGCTCTCTGTCTATGTTAGGAAGTCTATTTATCAAAAAATAAATACAACTATTTTCACTGCTAAAGTATAAATATTGACTGCCTCTTTGCAACAAAAAATACTTAGTGATTAAATAAATAACATAAGCAGAATTAAAATTTGTGACATAACATTTTTCTTTAAAAAAAAGTCTTTATTTTTATCATTCAGAGATAGCGACACTTAACCAAAGCATATAGAGAGAAAACAGGTGCCATGTATTTCTGTCTCAACCGACAGATATGGCTCGTATTTGGGAAGAAAGAATTGCATAATTTAGTAACCGAAGGGTTAACAGTTTGTAAAATCAATGAAAAAAAGAACTATATCACAATATCAATTCAGGTGAGCCTGAAAGATATTTGCAACAATCTGAGAAGTAACAGCAAGGCAGTTGTGTTTCTGGTTTTATGCTGATTGCAAATTGCTAACACACACACACACAAAAAAGGTTCAAAATATTTTATTAATAAATCAAAAAGCCAACCAACATATACAGTAGGCAAGTAATTATAAAGAATGACCAGTAGATTAATAGTATAAGGGTATCAGGAAGGGGGAAGCAATAGTCCCTTTTTTGCTGAACAAAGGTATATTGCTGAAACAATAGGATATTCATTTTTAAATGTATTGTTCAAAGGGCAGAATATTTTAGTATGTTTCGAGTATCCATATCCCCACCAAGAGTATCCATATCCCCACCTCAAACTCTTTTGTGAACTTTCAAGAACATTTGTGACCTTGTTGATGACTTCGAAGAGAACTATTTGGGTATTTTTATGTCTGTTTCAATTATGCATCTAATGTTGATGTTTTTTGTACATTAATTAAAAAATAAAACATTTGCTTTTTTAGAAAAATTCTTCTTTAATTTATTTGTGTCGTTGTTCTTCCCATATACAAAGCAATCTATTTTCACTAAAAAAAATCTGAATTGCTTAAATTTTGCATTATACACCACCACAAACATGGTTTCCCAAGAAAGTTGAATATTCAGCTTCACTCTAGCATAATGAAAATGAAAGAGGGCAAGCTCCATAGTTCCATTACAGTTTGTTACAACAAAAATAAATACACTTAATGTAAGAAAGCAATACTAATCCAAAAAATTATTGTTGAATTTTAAAAGTGCTTATTCATGCATACTCAAACATGTGTATTATTTGCATACATGTGTTGCTGTATAAATAATTTTTGGTGACTTGATGCATTATCTTATCATTATTTTCTGTGGCTTTTCACTGGGGATGTGAATAATCAGAATTGCCATTATTTTAGTATTGTTGTGATTTAGGACTGCATTTTGGCTCATGTAGGGGTAAGAATTCTCACTAGTGAGCATTCTGAGGTAAAATGAACGCTGCTGAATATGCTCTTATACTGGAGAGAAAAATGCTTCTTTCATTTGTAATAACTGTATTTGGAAGTAATGATTTAAGCTTTCAAAATATAATGCTCCTCAGAAGTAAGCATATATAGGCTATAAATATTTTCTTTTCCTTAATCAGTCCTGACATTGCATTGTCTGTGTAACTGTCATTTGTAATCTTATAAAAAACCTTTGAATACAGAGAAAATTAATGTAAAAAATTCAGCAAATTGAGTATTTAATTAATTGTAGCTGCAAATTCATACCATTATCATATAACTTACATAAATTAGCTTGAAGAACTGAAGAGCTTGCGAGAAATATGCTGAAGTTATAGCCTTAATTACTAAAACCAAAATTTTTTAAATTCAGTATTAATTATCTGAGTGTCTTGATTCATATTGAATGTCCATTAACTAAAATTTTAAGGATTTTCTTCTTTTGAACTTAGTGTTTGTTTATAGTTTTTAAAATACTTCTGCTATCACATCTGTTACTGATTATACTTTAAATTCCTTCTATTACTTATTATATTATTAAAGCCTCAATATAGTAAGATAATTTATCAAAATATTAGTATTAGCTATACTTTTCAAAACTACTTAGTAATGTAAAATGATGCATTTCTTTATATTTAAAGATTTTATTACAGTTTTATAGTACAAATATAGTGCATTTTTATTTAACTATAAAATTAAGCAGTATTTTTTAATGAAAATTGATAATTGATATTTTTAATAGGAAATGAAAACCTATATTCTTTGGAAGGGCAAATTCATCACAAGATGGCATTTATCAATACATTTGTACCTCGGGATCGAAGACTGATTCTTATTGGACATTCCATTGGCTGCTATATTGTTCTTGAGCTTTTGAAAAGATTACCTCATTTGCAGGTTTGATATAACACTTCATTTTGTAATAAGTGAAAAACTGCTAACAAGTAAAATTATCAAATATAAACACTTTTATGAATTAAGTTCCTTATCTTCAAGTATATTGCTAGAGAAAATGTGTTAGAATATTTTTAGTTATGGTACTATTATTTCATTTTATTACATATAGGTGAAAGTTAATATTAAGACGAAAAGAAACGATAGAAAAAAATGAAGACTAGTTAAAATATGTATATTAACCCATTAGCCGCTGGTGTTGTGTTGACGCAACGGTCAAAATAAATGCGTATATAAATATAACTACCTAAGATATTTTACACCAGCAGATGATTTTGTGTAGGGAATATTATGAAGATTATTTCTGTAAAAAATATTTGCCTTCAACAGTCATTTTGTTTATAATAATTAATCTCAAAATTTAAGCAAAATTTTCGACCGGGTATTTTTGCTGAAATATTTAACGAAAGAATCGCCATCTTTATGAGTGATCTATTTTTAGTCAAAGGTCACCGTTTATCAGAACATTACAATCAAATCAGATGTTTACATTTGTGTTGGGAAGGGAAGGGGAAAACAGTTGTTGCGTTGATGCACAGCGTCAGCAGGAAACGGGGTAGTCTATCTCCTTTTTTTACTTCATTCCTTTTGATGTTCTGGTTCATGTTCTGGCTGCCTTAAAAATGCTTAGAACGAGGTATCTTTACAGTAGAAGAAGCCCCTTCAAAGATTTTTTTGATGAAAAAAACAGATGATGATAATTAATGTTAATAAGACTGAAATCTTGAAGTGGATAAAAAGGAACTGTTAGTTATGTCTCAGGAAGAACATAAAGAAAGAGATAGAAGAGAAATTACAAAAAACAAAACACAAGGGTAAAACTAGTGCACAGATTTTTCGATTTTCTTTTTGGTTTAGACATTTACTCCTTCTTGTTGAACAGAAAAATATATACGCTCAGAAGAAAAAAAAAAAAAAAAAAGGCCTAGAATTTATTGCGTCTGAAGCCTATATGAGAAGATTTATTGGAATATTTTGCTTACAGGATATCATTCTTTACCACAAGAAGAAATGTATTGGTATTTGGATAAGGACATTTCTGTTCCTGTTGTACGAGAATTGATATTAACGTTTGCATTACAGGAATATGAAGCAGAATTTGCATTTGACAATAGTCAAATTGAGAATACTGATAAATTATATGAGGTGAGACCGTATTTACTAAATATCACCACTCTTTACTACTGGAAATATAAAGTCTCTTTTAGATTTCAGATGCGAGAATGCATTATTCCTTTTGCAAACTCCTATTGAGAGTGTAGAAGTAGCCAGAAATAGATCAGCATTAGGAAGACCTAGTAAATTCAGCATTCAAAAACCATTGCATGGAGATAGTAGGCATTTTATCGTAAAGTCCGTTGATAGCAAAAGTGTTGTAAAGAGTACCATAGCCAGACTGTTTATAGATGCAAAGTATGTAATGCAGCTTTACATCATGATTGTAATCAAGCTTTTCAGGCTTGAATCTTTCAAATGAAATAATATGTATTTGTAAAAGAAATACAATGTATATTTTAATATTAAATTAATTACAAGTAAAGTGATTTGTAGATTTATAAAACGTTATACAGCTAAAAAGTAATCCTGCGCTCCACTCAAAAGAAACATCACACAAGTACAATCCTACTCTCTCAACATCCGTAGTCTTATTGCGCTGACGTAACACTCGCTTTTTCCACAGGTAAGAGCATTTTTTTAATTTTAAATGTAAATTTATGTTATAAATGCTTAATTTAATATTTTTTATTATTTTCATGAGAAAAGAAACATTCCTTGTAGTTTTGGCAGTTAATGGGTTAAGGAATGAAAAGAAATGATTGGCTAACATGTTTATATTTACATATTTTCATATGAATATTAAAAAAACTGTTGCTCTTGCTTTTCAGTTCATGTATTATAAATAAAGTAGTAACTTAGTAATGTGAATTTCTGGAGTTATTTTTCTCAAATTTTGAATGGTTTTCTGAAATTTTATGAACAGATATAAGAATTTCGATTTTTGATCAATATATCTCTAATTTCTGTAATAAACCGATTATTTTTTGTTCTTAAATAATATTACCAGTACTTGTCAATCATAATGTCCATGGTGAGAAACTGGAATTGGCATATTTTAGCCTTGATGAGAAATAGATGATTACTGTACACATACACAAAAACAAGTAATTCAATATAAATTTATATTCTTTATTTTACTTGATACAGTTTTTAGGTAATTTAATTCAAATAAACAGCATATAGAAATATACCCAAAGTTACTACAGTCAAAAGTCGTTAATTCGGACACCCATAATCCGGAATGCGCTTATCCGTTTACGGGTGCGCGTAAGACCTTTACGGCTGCGAATATGCTTGTGGGCAAGCGCATAATACATCTACGCATGCGCGTTTAATGTATAACGGACAGTATAAGCTAAGCTACAATTATCTAATTCAGTTTCCTTAATCTTCGAATTGGATCCGGCTTATTATTTTTTGCAGACTGCTGAGCAATTTTATAAAAGTAAGCTTGAACTTTCGATTACATCAAACAGAATTTCCGATATATATTTACTAATATGTAGTCCTGACAACGAGTCCAGATTAATGACTTTTAACTGTATTATGACTATAATGTCATAAATCTAAGCATTGTTAGCTTCTTAAATGTTTTATTCTTCTCTTTTAAACTAAAATTACATTGAAGGTATGTGTATTGGTATCATAATAGAAAACTTTATTGTTAAAATGCATTCACATTTTATTATTTACATTATAAAAAGAAATAGTTACCAGTTATGTAGAAGCTTAAAGTGAGAGATAAAACATCCACAGAACTCCTGTCCCATCATTTATACACATATTTCTTTGTCTGTCCTCTTTAACATCTATGTTGTTATTGTGATTTATCTCACTTGCGTGACAGTAACATCAGAACAAGCCCACAAAATTTAGCACGGCAAGGAGAGCAAGATTGAGCCTATCGTTGGCAAGAGCCTTGTGCACCATTACAGGTGACAGTACTACTTCACTTATTGCCCCAATTTTGATGGAGAGCTTCCCAGAGGGACGGGTCCAAGGGTCACCCACTTCTCTTTCCCTAACACCAGCCTTTCGAGAGGATTTTCAGCTCACTGTTATATAGAGTGCTCCCCAAAACACTGTACATTTACAAACATCCATGCGCTCTCTTGGATTCAAAACCAGGCCCTTCGATATTGCAGTGGCTTGACCAACCATTATACCATCTGGGTGGCCTCTTCAACATCTTTTAAAAGGTTGTTCATCCTTATATGTTTTTGTCAGTTACTATTATTCTTACCTTTTTTTTTTCTTTTAAACTTTTTCTTACTATTTCTAGTTACCATTTTCTGAATTGTTTCTCGCTGTGACCATATGCTTGAACACAAATATTCAAGCATGCCATTGAGTTACATACTCCCCCTCTGGCTCGCATGACATCTCGGCAAAGAGATTATTATATTTTTATTGGTCTGCTTTGTCTTCAGAGATGTGCTATGATCCCACTGTTTGAAATTGGTAGTTCATAAGCATATAAGGCTGAGCTATGGTAAGTCTCAAGGACTTCATCTGGCTTAGTTGGGTCAGCAGTGTTATACTTTGTGGCGAACGATTGGCAATCACTAAATAAGATCCTTCACATTTGGGCATGAATTTAGCCTTTTGTTGTTGATGATCATGATATATTTTTTGCTTAAATTGTCTTGCTTCTGTTTGATGTGATCTTTAATCTCTGCAGTTAAATGAGCAAATTGTTTGAGATATGGGGTTATCTCAGCCATTAAGTTATCATTATCAATTAATGCTCTTAGATCATGATTGATATGGTCTGTTGTTTTTAATTCTCTACCAAATTGCACTCTCCACCAAACTGCACAGAATCATGATGATTCTGTGAAAGTGGCATGGAATATGGATGATCCTTGAAAACTTCATTGAATTGAGAAGATTCATCCAACCTCATAGAATCAGAATGATTCTATTTCTTTCATGCATCACTTTTTTGTTTGACTAGTGGTCCATGGATTTCGTTTTTAGGAGAAGATCCATGCGTGATAAAGGGTACATGTCTGCAGTAGTAGTGGTTTAGTGGTAATATCATTTAGTTTGCAATAGTCGGAGCAAAGTCTTATGCCACCATTTGGTTTAGGCACCAATATAACAGGACGGGCATATGAAGGTTTGCATTCTTCGATTAGATCTTTAGGCAGAAGAGATCTATTTCTTTTTTCAACAATTATCTTTTTTGCAGGACTTATTCTCTGAGGAAGTTCCGCAATTGGTAGAGTGTTTCTGGCATTAATATGATATTCGCAATATGGGGTTGGGTCTTCCCCCGATTCAAAGCAACTCTTGAATTCTTGCAATAAGTGATTTACTTGAGTACACTGTTTTGTATTTAAAAGCTTACAATTGTCATTTCGGAAATTTGCTAAATAGGACATTTATAAAACTTTAACAGAATTGAAAGTTTCTGCAGTTTTTTCTGAAACTCAGAAATGATGTAGAATTTTCACTGTAGGAGTCTTAACCCTTTGAGGGGCGGTATGTAAAATAATTTAAATTGTGGTAAATTTTGCATGAAGTATAACTTATGGACCCTAAGGACACAAAATTGAGACTTAAAAAAATCTAGAGCGAAATCCTAAATTTTGAGAACCTGTATACATTTTATACTGGCGCCCCTCTAAGACATTTTTTTTCCCAGGTAGTTGTCAATTGTTGATTTTGTTTTTAAATTAATTTTGCGTACTTTTGATGTGCATCTGTAGAGATGGGTGCTTGAATATAGTTATGTAAGTCTGGAGACAAAAACTTTTAAATTTCAGTAGAAATTTAAAATTTTAAAAATAAAATTTATGTTTTTATGCACTTTGGTGTTGCCAACCCAGCTAAGCATACTTATGTAAGATATGGGTAAAAAGTTTTTTAACTTGATTTAA